GATGATAGAAAAGTACAACTGGACACTGGGAAAGGAATTGACAAAATTTTGTAATAGCCGCCAAGATGACTGGGATGACTTACTCCCTCCACTGTTGATGGCCTATAGGACAGCAGAGCATGAAACCACTGGATACACTCCAGCAAAGCTGATGTTTGGTCAGGAACTTCGGTTGCCAGTGGATCTGTTAACAGGGGATAACACTTTCACAAACTCTGACACACTTTCAGGCAACTCTTCATAAGGTGGGCATGGAAAGGATGGATGACATTCACCAAACTTACATTTCCGAATAGGGCTAATGATTTACTGATTTTTGTTTATTAGATTAGATAAGAATAGAAACGAAAGTTATAGTTTAGATTTCACAAACAGGTGGAAACAATAAGCCTATTTATTCTTAAACATGTTCCACGAACCAGGAAGAAAACATTTTTATTGTAAATTAAACAATTTTCCCGCAGTATTCACAACATATATTTATAGTTTATATGTTTTTGTTAGCTGTATGTTGTCTGTCTGACTTTGTATTACCTGTATATTGCACACATAAAGATGCTGTAAATTTACAGCACATGTATGTTATTATCATATAATTTTTTCATTAATGATAAAAAAATTCTACTTCAGAATATATTTTAATTAAATCGAAGTTTATCGAGTTTAGAGTTATTTTGGTTGAAAACGGCTAGAATATTATATTTCAGTACAGAACCGGATATGTCATTACACATTCGAGCTTTTTTTGTTACCATAGTTTGTTACCTGTAAATGTATATCTTGCATAATTTGTTTTTATTTCTAGTACTTACATTAATGTTAACAGGTGTCAACTTGAAACACTTAGCTAAAATCACTTGCACTGGACAATATTTAAAAACGATGTATAACAGCTACTGCAGATGGTGCTGCGGTCGACACAATCACATGGCCTGAACCAAAAAGTGCTATTTGAATATGAAAATAAAGTCAAAAATTAATAATTTTCTGTCTGCTGACTCAGTCCAGTCATGACGATACTGATTAATATTAGTTTACGCTAAGCAGTGGATAAAACTAAAACATTTTGTCTCTACGTGATAAGACTGTTTTCCATGGTATTACCCATGAGCCCACATTTCAGTAAAAAATTACCGAAGAAAATAATGAGCAAATTTTGTGCTACGGCAAACCGTAGCCTTTACTAGATGTATTAAAGATTATCAAAATTTAATATCCATTGTTTACATTTATCGTAAAAAAAGATTGTGTCAAAAACCTAAATATCTCAGGACATTTATTCTTTAATATATTGTCCCCCCCCCCCACGTGGCACGCGGTATGTCTGCGGACTTACAACGCTAGAATCCGGGTTTCGATACCTGTGATGGGCAGAGCACAGATAGCACATTGTGTAACTTTGTGCTTAACTTCAAACACACAAACTTTAATATTTTAGCGTTTATCCCCTAAACTGCAATAATTGTACGTGTTTGCATAATGTGAAAAGATATAAATATATATCGATATATATAGCTCATGGGATACACAAACATTATTACACCCTATGAAAGTTGTAGGAACAATGAACATATTAGAAAAAAAAGTCAAGAAAATCCAGTTTTATTTATACGAGTCCTTCTAAAACCCCTGGAACTTTTATCAAATATAAATATTTTTCAGCCACTGTGCAGTAAATACTATATTTTAAATAATCAGCAGAAGTTCTGTTTGACTCTCGGTATATATATATTTTCTTTTTCTCAACCACATGTCCATCTTTAGTTAGTTTTCCAAGAAATTCTTCCACGTGTCACTTCTGAGCTTAAAGAAAGTTTTGTAATATCAGTGTTTTTATGGTAGGGAGTGGATGATTGCTAACAAAATTTGTCAGAACGTTCTCAGCAATTAAGAAGTAAACTACCAGGCATATGTTCTACCATACGGTTGAAATTGTGTCATGGATTATTTTATCCCAGAGTCGAAGACAAACTGATATCTTAACACATTAAATCACACAATGTATTACTTATCACAATGTTACTACAGACACGTGATGCTAACTGAAAGTAAATTTTGTTGACATAAAATGATCCTCTGTACGAAGAACAATTTGTAATTTATTGCCTATTAAACGTACAATTTTTTAAACATTTCAAACGTTAGTTTACTTAATCACAAATGCTGAGTTAATTATTTGAAACTGTTAAGCGAACTAGTTCCAAATAAATAGAATTACTTTAATCAATAGAAATGTTATTCAAAACTGTAGGTTAAATTAGTTATACAGAAATTGGGCTAATTCTTCTAAATCTTGGATTAGTTAATCAGAAGTATATAACTGATTGGAACAAGTTCTGAGGTAGTTGATCACAAAAATTGAGTTAATTACTCAAAATGTAACGTTAATCAGGTGAAAGAATAATTTCTTAATTAATCTCAATTTCTTGGTTAACTAATCACAAGAAGATTGCATATAGTTACTTAGTCATTAGACTGGTCAATTTGGCACCATGCAAAGACTCACTTTTCACTAACAATTAGTCACTCTACATCAACGTTATTATATTTCACCTGTTCCTTTTCAACAACTCTCAAATACTACCCTCATTTGTTTTTGTCAGCTGTTAAACAATATTAAATATCCCCTCCAGCCTCATATCAACTTTTAAGTAATTTTAAATTTCTAACACTTTTCATATGGTCCTATCTGAACATTTATTAATATCCATTCAGTCGGTAACTACTATATACAGGTAAAAATTAGACTGGTGTCGTCTAACCAACTACTACTGATATATATATATATATATAACTATAAATATGGGAGTTCTGTTGCTTTGCCGTTACCACAAGAGTTCTGTTGCTTTAAACCGACTTCTATCTAAAGAAAGAAAAATGAAGAAATTTCCTAGCGGTACATCAAATGAACTAAGTGCAGACTAATTAATATTAATTTAGAATTTTCTTTATTCAGAATTATAAGTTAGGTTACAGAAGAGAAAAAAAAGAACAGACTATAAAGACAACAACCACTTAAAATGTATAAAAATACACAAGTCATGTAAGAAACATTAGCGTACTATAAGCTTTTAAGTTGCTTAATACACTAAAAGATTGATATTCCGGTAAAGTAAACAACAACATCAATATTTTCCTTTGGCTAGCTCCTATTCAAAATCATTAATATTCCAATGTGGCGTATACCCGTTTTTAGTTAAATATTTAATACTGTGTATCATTACTTGTGACTGTAATATGACAATAAGCTGTATCTTAATATTATACATTCTCATCACATTAAATGTAATGTTTAAAACAATGACATGCTTTAAAACTATTTAACGCTAAACAGTATCATTATATAATAAATATCATTTTAAAATGTCATTATACTGTTTCAAAAGTAAAGTTTACATGTACAAGCATTAGACACTAATATAGTTCATTCACACTTATAGTGATGGTGATTATTGCTACTGCAACAACAACAGCAGTTTCCTTATCTGTAGCAAAAATAATCGTCATATTTAAAGCAGCAACACATTCTACAGCTATAGTAACAACAGATTCTTTTTGTACCAAACATAATGGCCATTTTTAAAGCAGCAACATTTTCGAAAGCTACAGAAACAATAGTTTCCTCTTGTACACCAAAAATAATAACTTTATATAAATAAGCAATAGTTTTTACAGCTGTACGAATAAAAATTTCATTATCTATGTTGAAAATAATTAGCACACCTCAGTAGGACCAATATTCATGATAGCACAACATTTGTACACAACAGACTTCAAGTCAGAGGCGTGTAAAAAATAGCACTTCATATCTACCTTTGTGTCTGCCACAATTCACTGCTTGACTATAACAGACATAAGTATATTGTCTATGATGTTATTTTGGCATGCAGTATAATAACTTTAGATCACAGTTTTCTAAGACAAAAGTTAAAGAAATTACAAAAAGAGTTATTTTCTGTAGGTTGGCTCATGCCAGTTAACTACTTATATCGTAATTTTTGAATAGAATTGTTCAAAAAATTTCTTGTTATTCAGTTTTGAATATTGTAAGATCTGTTTAGCTTTGTTTATGAATAATAGTTTATTTTTCAGTTTATAAATTGTTGCCAAATATAGTTTAGTTTGCCTCATGTAGCACTTTATTCGGAAAAGCTAATTTGTATTATTTCTTATTTTTCAGTATTTTGCTGTTTATTAGTTTTAAATGTTTCCCTCCTTACTCGTAAAACTGGGTTACATTATTTCTAATAAAGTTTCGACTTTTGTTCATTTATTGAAACATTTGGTTGTAGTTTTGTTGTGTTTTTTCGTAAACCGACAAAAATGGGATTTTGATACTTTCTTCAGTTATATCATTTTGGGTTAAAAGGCAAAGATTAAAGAATAAGGACATGATATATATATATATATATATATAGTATTTCTGTGTATTGAAAACCTCACTATAAATACAACTTTATATCTACAAAGCACCGTTATCTAACGTTTATGTAAATATTCCGATGCTACTAACTACTACAAACCTCTATATATTCTTATTTCTGCCCTTAATAGCAACAAAACTGTGTATATTGTAATTCAAATAAAAATATCTATTCTTTGTCATTCACAGACCATGATTCCAGCCGCATGTTTCAAGTACTTGTCTACCATCTTCCAGGGGGCGCTGCATGACCCATGCAACCTTGTTCTCGAAGTCAAATTTGTTACTATCCACTTCATGTGACAGTCGCAAATTAGGAAGTTGCCTGAAACACAAAGGTTATTTTGGTATTAACTCAACGACAGAGACAGGGCCCGATTATTAGCGGTCAAAAATTTGAAATTATGCACCATAAGATTGTTGATCACGATTTTTGTGTGTTGTTAAAAACAAAGCTACACAGTGGACTATCTGCGTTGTTTCCACCACAGGTATCGAAATTTTAGCGTTATAAGCCCTCAAGCTCATAGCTGAGCCACGAAAGCATAGTTACACTGAAAAAATAAAAATTATACATTGATTATGCGGCAACGTTTAAGATTATGCAACTCTTTCCTAAAGCAAAAACAACTTAAAACAAGATTTAAGTAGATGTACAGAATACAATTCCACAGCCAAAATCAATTTAACAAATTTTATTTTATAAAATAAAAACAACACATAAGCTTTCAAGGCTATTTGGCCAGCAGATACAACCAACCAGATACAAAGTAAAAAGATGCAAATCTGGTAATACTGAACCTACTTGTCTTTACTAAGTCTAAAAATTAAATTTTTTAATGCAATGATTATAAAGTAAACCACTGATTATAAGGTAATATGTAAATTACGCAAAAAAATTCTGCGGCGCTTAATCGTATTAAACTCGGTTTCCTGTAGATAATACATTTCATGGAATATATAAACATACAGTGATTACATTCGAACAACCCAAAACTTTGCATGGGTTTTCGGTAACTGTAGCGATCTGTCTTCTGATATTTATGTATTTAGAGAACAACATTTTTAAATAAATAATTTTTCTGTCTGCATGTTTTCAGTATAGATATATTTAGGTTAAAATGGTTTATGATTAAATAAAAACATAGGCAAATTAGTGAGAGTTAGGTTGGACGTTTTTATATGTCAACCTATTACGTTTCTCTAAACACGCCAACTGTAAGAAAATTAACAATGTTTTAAATAAACCTGTTGTTTTAGCACAAAGCTACATAATGAGCTATCTATTCTCTGTTCATCAGGGATAATTGAATCCCGTAATTTGATGTTGTAAGTCCAGTACTAGAAAGATGATGCACATTGACTGGCCACATTATTATAATCTCTTCTTACCTCGAGAAGGACTACCTTTCGCCACAGCCAAAGCTTTGTTTCAGAGTAGCACAGTCTTGATAAGACGCTGAAAGATATTCCACCAAACATGCTCGCCCTTTCAGCCGTGGGGGCGTTATAACGTGACGGTCAATCCCACTATTCGTTGGTAAAAGAGTATCCTAAGAGTTGGCGGTGGGTAGTGATGACTAGCTGCCATCCCTCTAGTCTTACACTACTAAGTTAGGGGGGGGGGGGCTAGCGCAGATATCCCTCGTGTAGCTTTGCGCGAAATACAAAACAAAACAAACAAACAGAAATCGGAACAGGATTGCAGAAGCTAATGCAACATTCGTGTTCTTCACAAAAAGGTTCAATGGGATTGAAATTCGATTATAGTGCTGAACAAGTATGTCCACTGAATCCAGTATCACGATATAGTGCTGAACAAGGATGTCGACTGAATCCAGTGTCACGATATAGTGCTGAACAAGGATGTCGACTGAATCCAGTGTCACGATATAGTGCTGAACAAGGATGTCGACTGAATCCAGTATCACGATATAGTGCTGAACAAGGATGTCGACTGAATCCAGTGTCACGATATAGTGCTGAACAAGGATGTCGACTGAATCCAGTGTCACGATATATTTTTACAACAAATCTGGAACAATGTAAGCATGACTGAGTGTTGCAATATCGTCTTGGAAGAATCTTTATCTATTAGAGTGGAAATGTGGTAATTCATGATTCGCAATAACATTTAGGTGTAGTGCGGATGTTACTTCCTTCTATAGAAACCAAAGGATTCAATCCCTGTCACAATGGTGTAGTGCGGATGTTACTTCCTTCTGTAGAAACCAAAGGATCCAATCCCTGTCACAATGGTGTACTGCGGATGTTACTTCCTTCTATAGAAACCAAAGGATCCAATCCCTGTCACAATATCATTCTCCACATACGAAAAAATATCGCTAAAACCGAAATTGATAAATACGGTACCAAATTAGCACGATGACATATTTACAGAAAGTACCGCTAAAGTCTGACAAACGTAGTGAGTTCTACAGATATGACGTATAACGTATAAGATTGTAGTACGGGACTGTACTGTGTGTTCTCTACTCCTTTAGCTAATATGTAAATATTTTTTTTAATTATTGTATTCTTTATCCTTCTTAGTTTGGACGCAGTAATGCGCTTAAATTAGTTACCCATTTTCCCCTTTCGTTAGAGCGTGTGGCGTGCTCATAATTGGCTGTTATCGTATCCTAGATAACAGCTAGGAGAGGTCACGTCCTTTGCACGCGAGCCGCTACAAACACACTGACCACTCGTTGACTGTGGGCCTGGGTCAAATTTGGTTTTGTTTGTATAATTCGTTTTATATATATATATGGCTAGGCTTACTCCACGAGCTTCAGACTTCAAGAATGTAGTTTCTTCGTTAGTATCTCATTTCGCACTTTTACTGGAACGTTCCGAGAGTTTTACATTTCTCATAGACCCTTAACACAATACTGGGCCATCCCAGACTGCCTTTCGAAGTCGTAAGACTTTGTTTGACTTAGCCAGAAGTTAAGCATTTGATTAAGTTTCAGTGAAATCGAAACTTATCTCGGACTTTATTTATTTAGCTCATAGTTACTTTTCTGTGTTATTTTTACTTAGATTTCTGTGGATTTATTTACTTGTAGTTTAACTTACAAGTAGGATTATATTTGAACTGGTAAAGAAACTAATTACGGTTCTTCACACATCACTTGTCAGTTCAACACACATCCATGGAAAACACTTCCCGTTTTGTTGTATTAAGTATATTGTACTATATTGTGTTGTGTTTTTGAACGAAATAAACATCTTTGTGGTTTATGCATTTGTTTCCTGTCTCTTTTTGCGTTACGAAATCGTTTCCAGTTAAGGAAGAAACACGTTCTATAACTCACTATCCTTGAGCCTCCAGTTAGCAGACCACTCTAGAGGAGAATGCCACACGTGTTTATTCTAGCCCATTCTCTTCATTAGATAAACCCATTTGTTTTTTCTCTTCATAAAAGGCTGAGTGTAACTCAATACCGCAACTTCTCAGCGTCACTAACACCTCCTTCCTCTACAGTTACCCTAATTATAGTATTAGGTAACACTGCACAGTACAAATTATAATCAACCAATTCAAAAACCTTGTCCGGAAATTGAACATTGCTCTCTTAAATTGCCCTTCGACAATCACCCATAACAAGATACTTACCAGTCACATCAATCCGGTGGATAGCAGTCGGAGCTTGGTTCCAGGTTGTTGAAGGTAGAAACTGAAGTAAATTGTTGGTGAAAACTACTTCACGTAAACTAAACATGAAAGAGAATATGTTTTCCGGTAGTAATGACAGTTTGTTCCAACTGAAAAAAAAGTATTAGATAACTAATGAGTAATTAGATAGGTGCAGAAAACTGTTATTCAAGTTCCTTTAAAGTATCTTAGTGATAAACTTTACAGGAAGGCCAAACCTTAGAAGGTAATAGAAAAATGGCGTGAATATCACCAAGTGCTACTCATTACGTTAAATTTAAAATACATTTTTTGCATAATATCAAAAACAAATTTATTCCATTATTATATACATTAAAACTCAGCTACATTATACATACTAATTAAATTACAATATAACATATAATTAACCCAAGAGTTAATGTCATTAATTATCTAACATTTTACTTGATCGTATTTAACTTTAAAATTTCCTTTTTAATTGGAAGTTTATATTTTTTATTCTATTACGATAAATATTTTTTTTTATTTTCTATAAATAATAATATTCTATATATGTTATTAAATATCTCACAGAAAATATGCCTGCTATAAATTATTTTATTTTTATCGCTATATTGAGGTATATTTTTATAATATTATTCTGTAATGAAACAAATTTTTTAGTGTGATTGGATAAGTTCTTCCCCATACAGAATAACTGACTGTATAAATTAGAAATAAAATTCTTAACATCTGGACAATCCTTACAAATAAAAGATTTTAATGGACATAAATCTTAGTGTTTTTGCCAAATCCTTATATGCTGTAATTCCTGTACGCTGAATCCAAAAATAATATCCATTTTTCTCCATCACGTACAAATTTTTCACAAAACCTCATAACGCAATACATAAAAGAAAATCCACAACAAGTAGTTTTGACATTAAAAGACGCAGACTTCACAAAAAAATCAGGATAAATGAGGATACATATTCGTTTGACATCAATGTTCTTCGGTTTGTATTTTTGTTAACAAACATAATAATAAAAAAATCTTCATTGTGGTAAATGAAATAATAATTTGATCTAAATAAGTTTTTTCTTCCCGATTTGTAAAAAAATCCTCACGTGATAGAAAAAACGAATATTGTTTTCGAAATGTGCGAAACTGAGTTATGGAAAATCTGCCTGTGTAATTAGTTTCACTTCTTCAATACATATAAGAAACAAGCACATGGAATTATTGTTTCTCTTGTATTAAACGTTTTATAAGTCCATGACCAATTTGTTTTTTCTGCTACATTTTTAAAATGGTTATTAAATTGATTAGCTTATTTCCTAATCCCTTCGTTATCTGTGAAGTAATTCTTTTCTGTTATTTTTTGTGGTTGTGATACATTATTTTGAAAAGAAATTCAACTGAGAAATACATTTCGTTTCAAATGTTTTCAGATACATATATTATTAATATATTTTGAGTTTTTCGTTAATTTTTGAGATAAACTCTAAAGTATTCATGGTGAAACTATAATTTTTCAATGGAATCATCAACAACATGTGATATAACAAACAACTAACGGAAGTGAATTAAGGTGCTTTCTATCACTATATGCTGTTTTTACAATATAAAATTGTCCAACTTAATATGCAGCTAAATACATAATCAGATTGCGAATTGATAAACTCACCTTAAGTTTAGTACTTTCAAATTAACGTTAGGACTAGAAAACATATCTCTGCTGAGATTATTTATCTGGTTGTACGAAAGATCCAGTTCAGCCAGGGAAGGAAGTTGAGTAAACGCTTTGCTTGAAATGTCGGATATGATGTTGTGAGATAACACCAATGTTTTCAGGCTGGTCAAACTAGAAGGAAAAGATGTGTTGGAGAGTTCTTCCAGTTTATTGAAGGAAAAATCGAGTACTCTTAAACTTCTTAGGTGTCTAAGACCTGTTATATCCACTGCAGTGATGTGACCGTAATCAAAAACTTTACTTTTCTTACAGTCAGTACAAACCTTTCCACTGAGAAAACAGTTAGAAGCAACAAGTTTGTTGAGGTAATATTCCTGCCCGCTTAGAGGACTGTCGCATAAAAAACAACCTGACAATGGAGTACTACGAATCTCCAACTCACGAACTCGGGATGTCCACAGCCAGTTTGGTGGAAGCCTGATCACACCACGGCTTTTCTTTCTTTTATCTTTTTTCACATCAGAAATCATAATCCTATCGATGATGAAATGCCCCGCTGCTTTCTCAAGACGACGTTCACACTTGTGTCTGTTGCAGATAAAAGTAGTGTAAATGTCCTGACGAGTAGTTGGTGTGTTGACACAGAACCACGGAGAAATGTCTTCTTTAGGACAAGGAGAACCAGGTCTTCCATGATGGACAAAAGAGGCCATAAGAAGAAACAGGATTATCATCTTTCCAACCTGAAATATATAGACTATATATTGTTATATGTATTAAACACGAAGTTTACATAAATTTAATTTTCTCCAAAAGAGACAATTGTATCTAACTAGATGTAGAAAGACTGGTGTGTGGGAGAAGATTTAGTACTATGCTGATCACCTACATAGTATCTTTATATTAAACGTTCTACATAAAAATATATGAAACAACTGCAGTGTACAATGGAGATTTACGATAAATACACTAAACAAACGATATGGAAATTTTTACAAATCACTTCGTCTATATTTTAGTAAATTATAACAAACTCTATAACATTCTAGCATATCACTTCCTATATATCTTTTACAAATCCAAAGTTAATTAAATTCTAGAATACCACTTCATTATATATATGTGTGTTTCAGTAAACCAAGGCATTCTATCAAATTCTAACACTAACCTTATTTATTTTTCCAATATAATAAACCTAGATTCTAGACAAACGTAATTAAATTATTGCTCTCCTCATGTTTATTCATAATATTATACAACGCAACAGAAGTAGTAAAACTTTAGTCTAAAAATATTCTCAAATGTAAAATGTGATGTTAATAAAAGAATTCAATATACATACATATAAAACCAAAATACAATTTATTGAAGTAACACTAATAAATATCCAACCAAAACATTATTATATGAGAGATAAATATATGTTTCGTTACTATAACCATAACAAATAAAGTTGCCTCTCTGTTCGATGCGTATAACGTATAAGAATATTTATACGAACGATGTTGATGTAAACTTAACAGCTTAATTAACCTGTTTATCCAAGTTCTGAAAAACGTAAACAAATAATTAACGCACATAAACTATGTAAAAGTTAAAAATTTATACAGAATAAACCCTAGCAAAACTTCACGCACGATATGAATACTCAAAATTCCTGAAGATTCTGAAGGAATATCGTACGTACTACACCAGTTGGTTAAACCCAATAATGAAACACTTATTTGATTGCAGGAGAGTGACAATCGAAACCGAAACCAAAACAACAGCCAGTTGATCTTATAAAAATAATAGCATAACCCAGTGCTCGTTATAGAAATATAAGAAACATTTGTGGTATACAGTGAACAACTTAACTTATCCTTAAAAAGAAAGAAAACCGCTTGCTATATAATTCTTTGAGTAACAAACTTTTATTGCTACATGTTGAGCAAATTCTTTTTTTTAAAACAATTATTACTGCTTGAAGCATAGATTTAATATTTTAACAACAACAGTTGATTATTTTAAATAATTGTTTAATTGTTGATGATTACTTTCTTTTGATTAAAAACGTTTGGTTTTAACGTGTCCAATATAGAATCGGATTAAGGGTCAGACAAGCTCGAGGCTAAATTTTCCTAAAGGGGCCTATAATGATCGCGACTAGAGACTAAGATAAAAAAAAAAAGAAGCAAACTTAACCTCAATATATGTTTTATATTTGGAGACAATCTATATAAATAATCCTCTTGCGTTTGTCTGTCAGGAACTTTTTTCGCAAATTTCTCAATCAAACGCTACAAATCTCATATCGTTAGAAAGGCCTTTGACTGAGGAGTCCCGGCCCGCGAGTGGACTTACAACGCTAGAATCCGGGTTTCGATACCCGTGGTGGGCAGAGTACAGATAGCTCATTGTGTAGCTTTGTGCTTGACTTCAAACAACTGAGGAGTCCGGATTGCATGTTGACTTTGCAATTTAGACTGACCTTGCCTATTTTTTGCTCAGCAAGCTTTTTAATGCAATGAGTATGCTACACGATGACACAATGTCGTTGTCATCACATGACGACTGGCTTCGATTTCAACTTTAGTTTTTTATATGCAGACGATTCTGCATAATCAGCTAAGTTTGCCCTTATTACAACTTCACATTTACTTTACTTTGCAAAAATTTAACTTCCGTTGATTTCATAGACATCTATAAACACCTTTTAGTTACTTATTTCTTTACATACGGGTTTTATTCTTCGTTTTTGTGAGTTTCTTTGTTTCATCTCGTAAAACTGTGTCATACACTGAACGCTCGTCACTGTTTCATACGCTGTACATAAATTATAAGGACCGTTATTATACTCTATTGTTTTCTTTACGTGTAGTTATATTAAATAAAGATATGTACATGTAGTTTTATTAAATAAAGTTACGTCTACGTGCATTTGTTTGTCTGACTATTTTAAATTTTTTTACATAGTCAGACAAACAAATTAAATTTATTAATTTAACACATAATGCCTGCAAGAAAGCGTAACCTAAATGCTGTGCATGAAAATGACAGAATAAGAAAAATTCAAGTAAAGGGCATGAAAACTACTGCAAATGTTTTGCAGGTTGTAGCTAATGGAAAAATAATACCCACATATTTGTAAGACTCGTCTACAAATTAATGAACAATATTAGATGTTTCTTGAATAAGAAAGTGGTGCTCTAATACAGAAAAATTTGCATTTGGACAACTAAACATATAGACAGAAAGAAACGACATACACATAAGTTCAACAACTCATGTATTTACACACATACATACACATGCTTAGATCACTCCAGTACTGAAACTTAACACCTAAACTACAGGCAAAATTTGTATTTGAACAACGAAGCATATATAGACAAAAAGAAACCACATATACATAAACTCAGCAACTCACATACTAACGCACACACATACACGCTTAGATCACACTGGTACTCACATAATATGACCAGCAATCACGTTATCTGCACTTGATTAAACTAACGTCTTCCTGACTCGTTTTTGCAGCAAAGGCAAAAAGTGCCAATGCATCTAGCCTGTTTTGGCACATTGTTCATAGAAGTGTTCTTTATTGTTTTTAGCGTCGAGAATGATCTTTCTTCCACGCAATTGCTTGACATGAGGCACAGGCATGTCCTTAAGATTATCAGGACGTTTGGGAAAGTTAATTTCCGATATTGGTCGCATATCATTCTCAGCATACTTTGTTTCTTGGATTCTGATGGTCTTGCAAAGAACCCTGCCTTGCAGAGGACGGCAAATTGAACAATTTCTTCCTCTCTTCAAGTCTGTAGAATATGTACTAATCAGCTATTTAGAGGTCTTTTGTAGGCCTGGGCTCAAAATGTTGTGGAGACTCAAACTTGCAACTGACGTTTTCATATGTCACTATTTTGTTGTCTGGTGCAAATGACAGTTTGTCAATTATTGTTAAGAAAGTCTGAGCTTTATACTGAGTAGAGGGTGAAAACTCACTGTTCTTAGCACCATCTTCGTCCCATCGCATATTGCTGTTCCTTTTCCTTGACCTTTAGAGCTTATACCTCTCGCATCCATACAGTTTTTTATCCTTTTCCTCGTATTCCTGCACAAATGTCTTCAGAGATTTCAGCATATGAGAAGCTGAGCTGACACTGCTCTGTTAAAGTCTTGTTGATTCTTCCACATTTGGTTTTATGAATAACAAATTTTGTGATGCAAGTTTGATGCAACAAGCTTGTTTTGTGCCTACTCAAGTCCCTTGTAGCACATGGCCTGGTGTGGTTAGGGTGCTTGACTCGCAATCTGCGGGCAGCTGGTTCGAATCCCCATCACACTGAACATTCTCGTTCTTTCAACCATGAGGGCGTTATAATGTGATGATAAAATAGTATCCCAAGAGTTGGTTGTGGGTGGTGTTGACTAACTGCCTTCCCACATTACACACAAACTCTTCTTCTCTCCTCTCTCTCTCTTTTAAAAAAAGAAAGACTTGGTTGAATGATTTTTATTAAGCATTTTCATAAAAAAATGAAGATGGGTCTTTTTTATAACAGGAGTTTTTTAAGCCTGAGCCTGGGGCTACAGCCCAACATTCCCTGCCTTAATCTGCCCCTGGTTCTATTGTTAGGCGGGTTCTTTTGGATTATTTGGGGGAAAACATTGCCATGTTTAGTCCACGTAATGATAGCAAATTAACTTATTGCTTCAACACATTTCAGTCGGGCATGGCCTGGTGTTTAGGGTGCTCGACTCGCAATATGCCGGTCGAGGGTTCGAATCTCCCGTCACACCGAACATGTTCGCATTTTCAGCCATGGGAAATTATAATGTGATGGTCAGTCCCGCCACTCCTTGGTAAAAGAGTATCCTAAGAGTTGGTAGTGGGTGGTCTGGACTAGCTGCTTTCACTCTAGTCTTATCACTGCTAAATTAGGGATGCTGCAGATAGCCATCATATAGCTTTGCACAAAATTCTAAACAAACTAGTAAAGTTTTCTACAGGATATATTCACTTGTAGGCCTAACTTATTTGTATAATTCCTTGGTTTAACACGCTAACTAACTCACTGTTAACTAAATTGCAGACAAATAGATGCAAAAATTCTCACTTTCTAAGTCAGTGAAAGACATTGAACTAATAAACTCACTGAATAAGCATTGTCCCCGATGGGTAAGCGGTAAATCTAAGGATTTGGAATGTTAAAATACGTGGTTTGAGTCCCTTCAGTAGATAGAGGGCAGATAGGCCTTTGTGGAGTTTTGCGCTAAGGAACAAACCAAAACTAAAACAAAACAATGACTTCTCATTAACTTCACTGGGTCTAGTATGTACACGGCACTTTATCTCTACATAAAATGCAAGTGGTGTAATGCAAGTTTTATTGTGCCGGAACCATGCCAAAATTTTTCAGATGTGTGACATCATCATCAAGGTAAAGATATAATATTCAAAACCTAATTTTAATTTTTGCGAGTCCATTTAAAATAAAGTAAACACTGACAGCACTGATTGTTTGAGATTACTTACACTAGCATTAAATTGAATACACATATATTACAAGAATAAACACCGAACTCAACTTCCTTAAATTCAGCAACAAGGAAAAAAATGAACAGAAAGAAAACAACAACTATGTACTATATGTACAGTACCTTTAGGCTTCTTCACTTCAGTTTCAGCAACAACAACCTGAAAACAGTATTAATGACTTTGGATTTTATAATGTATTGTACAACTCCTGTCCTACCAACATAAATGACAAAAAAAGACATTTGATATATATTATGTAAATAATAAACCTTTTAAAATGTGTACATTTTAAACACTCCTTTTAATTGTAAAATATACGTTATAAAGTGTTTTAGTATCACATTAGTGTGTCTTAATAGCATCGTAACATATGACAGAAACATTTCATCATTTTAATACTTTCAACTTGCACTTTAGCTGGAGCAGTCACCCAGTATGTGCTGAGTAGCCTTGGAGAGCTCAGTTAGTTGACATGAGGAGATCACAATCAGCTAGAATGTTCTATAATACTCTTAGAGTTTTGTTATGAAGGACATTTAATTTTGGGTGTAAACTGAATGCCTTATTTTTATATACATATTTATTATTTTTAACTGTCAGGACTCAGCTCCAACTTCAGGTGTCAGAGCAGTGTGGTGGCATGCTCCAGACTCTGTAGTACACGAAAGTTTTAGATTCTTAACTTCCATGAAACTCCTAGATAATGTGTAATGCATCATTTTGCAAACAAACAACTGTATCAAAATATTAAAAATATAGCTTACAACTCTGCCTCCTTCCTTGGTTGTGAAGTCTCTTGAATAATCCTAAACAAATAAAGCAGCACTAAACTGTCCATTCACTAAGTATTTTTGGTGGTTTTGTTCTTTGGGGATTATGTTAGTAGATATGATGATCACTCATCCCTTATTGTCACTTGCTGTCATGTTCTAGTTCTCTCTAGATTGGTAGTTGAGCAAATCCACTGGTTGCCCTATCTGTGGTGATCTTATGTAAGTAGTGACAGAAATCCAGGTTCTTTAGCAGGTTAACTTCCCACTAGCAAATTGTACTTTGGCTGAAATGTTTACAAAGACAATCACAGTGGATGACTTTTAGTTTAGACCACATGTCCTTTTGGATTTTGTATAACACATCATTGATTTGTTTTAGTACAACATATGACCCTTTCC